TACTCCAATAAAGTCAGATGGGCTGAGGGCTTCTGTTGCCAGGTAACGCTTGATGTCAAAGGACAAAACTAGTTTTTCTCGCCCTCCTCGTCAACGTCAAGATGACATCATCGTATAGCAAACATGCAGATCAGGTGACATGACTGTCTGAGAGGTGGAGTTAAACTGTGGCAGGTAAGCATGTGGAGGAGGAGCAACAACTGCAACATGACGCCGGAACATCATCATTGCATTATACAGTTTCCTGTATAATGGAAACGGTGGACTGTGGTGGCCACTGCAGACTGTTGGACTCCATTACAATCTTCTTGGACAGCCTTATAGTGACTCCCTGTCCATCTGGAACAAAGCATTTACATTAAGAAAAACATTTACAGAAAACACAAACACCTGCAACACATGTTTCTGATTTCTGATAAACACCAAACAGTGTTTTATAAACAGGAAATGTTCTTCTTGTGCCATATAGTAAAAGAAGATACTGACATGTATATGTGAGGACAGCACACACACAATGTCGTATATGAAATTCAGCTTGATGTTTTTGTCCTGGTATCTTTTCACCCGCTCACTGATGACATATATTGGATCTGCTCGCCTGTTTAACAAAAAAAAAGATCATGGCAATGGTTTTGAGTCGATAAGAGAAATAATGTTTGGGGAAACCTTTGGTGACATTTTTGACTGTAGGTTACAGCAATTATGAAAGAAATCTGAAATCCCAACATTTATGAATATAAATAATGATTAGCTGCTTCAGTCCACTTCTCTAGAAGGTTTAGAGAATTTGTGTGTGTGTGTGTGTGTTTTATGCAGGTTTTGCAATATACACGAGTACTGCTGCGTTCATACACTGATGTTCTCCAGGTTCTTTGCAAATAATGCAAATGTTTCTGGATGGTGCTGAGGATTTATATGACATCTTTCAGTGATTCCCACAGGCTGAGTTCTTTCCTCTTTGCCTCACTGTTTGCTGTCTCTGAGCCAAAAGTTCTGCAAGTCACATTATCCATGTTCGCAGCCAGTGGTGTGACTGGTTCAATTCAATTTTATTTATAAAGCACGAAATCACAACAAATGTCACCTCAAGGTGCTTTATATTGTACAGTATATCCTATAATAACAGATACAGAGAGAAACCCGACAATCATATGACCACCTATGAGCAATGTTCCCTCTGAGCTGCGCGTGCACTGCTGGCACGGTCTCTGCGCACAGAAAATATGCGTTGCGCACAGAAAAAAAATCTAACCTGAATTGAAATTAACATTAATACTTTAACAATTCTGTTTTGCAGTGTTAGTCAGTGACTGGCTGCTCCTGTATGGGATCAGAACGATGCCACCTTATCCCATAGTCCAGCCAATGATGCGATTCACATTCGTATATACGCAGCTAATCAACGTCGCTAACAGGCTATGACAGCGTCCTTATGTCCCGACACCAGTGTGTTAGCTAGCAAAGCAGCGTGGCTGATGTGGAGTGAAGCTACGTTAATGACAACGTGTACAACCATTGGAGATGTGAGCAGGACAGACAGAACAACTGACGGGAAAAGTGTGGACTTTATACCAGTTTTTAAATTGTGTTGATCGGCCACGTAAAACCAGAGTTATGATAAAAATATCTGCAATGTTTGGTTTTCTTCATGAATACTATCGCTGTTTATATTTACTGCGGGAAGAAACGGTAAAAACGGCATTTTATAAGGAAAATGCTCGAAAGCCTGTGAGCAAAGACGAAAAGGAGTGACGGCGGTGTTATGAGATGTGAGAGATTTGCGACGTTTAGCGCAAATCTTGTGCAGTTAGTGTGTAGTGTAGTCAATAGTTTTTTTGTGTGTGTCAGAACAATGAGGCGACTGCTGAATGTTACAGGTGTTACAGCAGTGATACATCTGCTGTTGCCAGGCTGTTGTTCTCCTTCATCTCATAGTGGACAGAAATTATTTTTTGGAGTGGCACAAATAATTTGTGTGGCATCAGATTTGATGCAGAACTGCTGATTGCTCTGTAACTAGTTTGAAATGTTTATTTAAAAAAAAACGCTTGGCTGCATTTTTAGGTAAACAGCTGCAAAAAACTTTGTTGTTTGCAAAACTCAGTAAATTTTTTTGAAGAAGTAACTATATAATTAATTGCCCAATATTGGTCATTATATCCTGTATTTTGCAGACAGAGAGTTACTGGACTCACACAGACTCATACTCATAATACAAGTCAGAGCTTTATAAATAAATAAATAAAATAAGTTTTGTTTTCAAAATTGGAGTTCAAGTTATTTTTTACCTCCAATAGTGTTAACATACTACACAGGTCATGAACAATATTTTTTTATTTTCATTGTAAATGGGCTAAAGCAGTTATTTAAAAGTAGTCTAACATAAATGTAAATGCTGTAATTTGATTATTTTAATAAACCATGTAACTTGGATGGGTTGGATGCTGGCGTGACCACAGTGCACACGTCACTGTGTTGTGTTATTGGAGCTGAGTGTAGTTTGATGGCTTTATTATCCACGCTGTGACACATGGCAGCTGAAAGAGCAGAACACATGCAGTCAGCAGGTGTGTTTAAATTCAGCCTCTGCTTTCTCTGAAGGTCCATGACATCACAGCGAGGCCATGAAGGCCGTCCAGAATCCCAGGCTCCCACCAACCTGTCCTCCTTCTCCCTGGATTTGAAGGACAGGTGGGCCCATCCTATCCCAAGATGCATTGCAGCGTGGTGGTGGATCATATATTTGGGTCCAGAGTTGGAGCAGTGCTCTCTCTCTGAGTCTTTGAGGCTGTTTTCGGTTTGAGTCTGGCTTCAGTTCAGTCTAATTTAGCAGCTGTGACATCAAAGATTGTAGGGGAGGAACAGCCACACCCACAGGTGAGTTTCCCACCCAGAAACAGAGCGTGAACATCACCTCTGTCTGCGCTGTGTTAGTAACAAGCTTTGTTCTGGGCTTTTAAGTGGAGGGCTGGAGCTTGTGAGTGATGGAAGCTGAGAGCTGTGTTTGCACATGCTCAGTGTGACAGGGTGTTGGCTGCTGTGTTTGCACATGCTCAGTGTGACAGGCTGCTGTGAAAGCTGAATCCTCTCTGGTTAGAAGTGATGTCACACATTAGGATAACTGTGCCAGCTCTCTGTCAGAGTACCAGGGCCTCGCTTTGACCACATGACTCTCAGTACACAGCATGATCTGTGCGCTGTAAACAGGAAGCAGAGGAGCAGGACTGAGGTAAACCTCTGTGGGATCAAACTGAGCTCCAGATGTTTCCACATGTTTCTGCTCTGCCGTGTGTTTGATGATTATTTCAGGTATAGATGATGGAATATGATCAGTCTGATGTGAGCCTGCTTCTCTGACAGTGCCTCACCTCTCTGTGCTGCCCCCTGCTGTCTCTTATCATTACTGGCTGAGTCCCTGCTGCCACTTTATTAGGTACAGCTTGCTAACACAGGCTCAGACCTGCTTTGCCTTCAGAGCCACCTTAAATCTTAATGGCTCAGATTCAGCGAGGTGCTGGAAACATCCCTCATAGTCATGTAATCAGTGATGTCAGCTTCAGCACTGACAGACAGAAAAGAGCATCAACATAAACAGGAAATATAATAATCAAATGCTGATTTTCATCTTTTCAGCCCTTTGTCTGGCTGCTAATCCAGCTGTGTGTTTGTGATGACAGTAAATAAATGGCAGACTTTCAGCTCCTGTTTTACTGCATTAAAGTGATCACATGACTTCAGCGCTTCACACGTCTGACCTGGAAACACAAACTCTGGTATGATCTGGTATAAAGCAAGCAGTTTGTGAGAGCTGATCTGGGATCCATGTGTTCACACCTGCAGCTTCATGTCTTCACAAGTCACAAGTGAACTTTACTCTGACTTAGACTCAATCTGAGCAGTCAGATGGCATATTTGTGGAGTGAACACATGAAGGTGTGGCCCTCTCACATTCTTTAGGTGGAGTCCCGCCTCTTTCCAGGAAGCAGCTCATCTCTGTGTCCATGTTTAGTGTCCAGGTGTGGAGTGGAGCTTGTTGTTGGTGTGTGAAGAACCTGTAAGTTTGCTTTGTTTCCTCCTTTAACAGTTTGTCTTTAGGAACTTTACTGTTTGTTCAGCTCATGTTTGATTTCTTCACACAACAAACTGTGTGTGTTTGTATTTCCGGTCTCTCCATTAAAGTCAGTGTGTAATGTTTTCCTGGCTAACATAAGCTGTGTGCAGCTTAGTTCCAGCACAAATCTGCCGCTCCATAGTTCACGGTAACGGACTCACAGCTGGACCAACGAGGCCGAGTGTGTCCGCCACTCTGAGCTACGTTCATGTTTTTGTACTTTTTAGCTGTGTCCCAATTGCTAGGCTGCATCCTTCAGTGAACCTGGCCTTTGTGGTCAACAAGGGTTGGGTTCTCCAAAGACCGAGAAGGCCAGATGTGTGTGGATTGTTTGCAGGCAGAGCCCAAAGCAGGATTCTAACGTGATTGGTCATTTTGATGGCTGTAGCTCATGGTTGTGGTTGAACAGGTCACCTACTAACCGAAACGTTGGTGGTTCAATTCCATACCGCCTAATATCTTTGGGAAAGATAGTTACCGTATGTTTTTATTGAAAAATGTTGGGTGAATGTACAAGTTGTGTAAAGCGTTTTGAGTACTCAGATTGTGGCTCATCAATCCATGTACTGTTTCATGGACACTTTTGGCAGCAACAGAAATGCTGCGTTTATTTACAACTTAAAAAATAAAGTTTATCATAAAATAAATAAGTTATTATTTCCTATGCAGCAATGGAAACTGACAACTATAGCAGAGGATTCAGCAGTGAATCCTCTGCACTGCTGAGGATTCAGTCTGTTGTATGGTATTAGTACGGTATTATGCATCATAATCTAGAAATTGTAACTTCGGCCAACATACAGACATTTCAACCTGCCAGCAATCTGATAATGTGGACTCACTGAGTGTTTGTGGTTAACCTCTCAGACTGGCTAAAGTCCACAAGAAGATGATGATGATAGAGGAAGAGGAGGACAGAGCAGAGTCTGCAGGATCCAGCTGTCTGACTATTACCAGTGACCGGTCTAAAGGTCACCCTCCAGACTTCAGTGCTGAACCTGGACCAACAAGGTCAGAGAGCTCACCTTACTGAGTTAACAGAAATAATTCTGCACTGACATTTTAATAAGTGTTGATTCGGGTTGATTTTATGACTGTGTTTGTGAGCTGAGAGGAAATGAAAATGAATTTGTAACAAAAATCAGTTTTGTCCAGTTTCCCTGTAAAAAGCTGAACTCTAATCTAAGAGGACTGTTACTGACAAGAAACAGCTGCATTATCTACAGTCTGTGTGATGGTAAATGGCTTGTATTTGTATAGCGCTTAACACGTTCAGTCATCCACCCATTCACACACGTGATGGTAAGCTACATTGCAGCCACAGCCACCCTGGGGCGCACTGACAGAGGCGAGGCTGCCGGACACTGGTTCCACCAGGCTCTCTGACCACCACCAGTAGGCAACAGGTGAAATGTCTTGCCCAAGGACACAACGACCGAAACTGTCCGAGCCGGGGCTCAAACCGGCAACCTTCCGATTACAAGGCGAATTCCCAACTCTTGAGCCACGATCGCCCCTGATCACAGCTGCTTCAATCACTTTCATGATGTTTGTGTCTGCAGAGGTCAGAGGTCACAGTCTGCAGGATCCAGCTGTCTGTTTGTGAGGAGTAATGGGTCCAGACATGAACCTCCACTCTTCAGTGCTGAACCTGGACCAACGAAGTCAGTGAACTGTGATGGGCTCCTTTACATGTTTGTGTTTTCCTGGATAAACCTGATAAACTAACCTGACCTGAAAAATCCTCAGATTTTACAAAGATTCATTAAAAAGAAAACAATGAAACAACAAAGATTAAAATCTTAGACTTGGTCATTTGTTGTTTCAGGACAGTGATGCTCATATCTGTGGGGAAAGTCTGTATTGAGTGAGTCCATTTTTGTATATAAAGAACAGAGCTGCTCTGTCTCTGATTCTTGTGTCTTTGTGTCACAAAGAGACCCAGCAGCTAAAGCCTGGAACACACTGAACAACTGTGGTGTTTTTGCTCTATTTCATCTCAAAGGTTTTCTGTCAGGACTCTGTGCAGGCCAGTCAACTTTTTCCACACCAAAGCATTAAGAGTTCCTTTCACTTGAACTAAGGGGCCGAACCCACACCACAGTTTATATTTGGCACAATGCATTCAGACAAGTACTGGTAACTAAGTAAGTCGTGGCAACCACAATACTCGGACTATCATATTGCCAGAAAGAGGGGTGTGATTAGTCACTACAGAGTACATATCTCCACTGCTCTAGAGTCGGCGGCATACTTTACGCCAGTGGTTCTCAAACCTTTCATGAGTACCACCACATAAAAATATATGGCTCTTAATGTACCACCCCTATGACCGACATTAAAGTACAGTAGTATAGCCCTAACACCGTGTACAGTTTACACGAGACAATTTTATTCCTTATATGAATGTTATTTAATTTAACTGTCATAGACAGGATGTGACAAGTGATAATAATAACAACTGTACAGCATTAAAAGATTCACAGCAGGTCGGACATTCGGCCTTTAAGTGATGACGTATGAACCTGTCATGATCTGTGTGCAGGCAGGCAGGGAAGGACGCAAACACAGACTCATACGCGGAGGCGAAAATTAAACTCAAGCTGGACACTAGAAAAAAGCATAACTAAACTTGAAGATACAAAATAGGTTTGGCAGGCGAGCACACAGAGGGGTATGAGGGAGATTGTGACAACAAGCAGGGGATGATAGAATTAAGAGAATGGGAGACAGGAGGGAAACAGCTGGGACTAATTAGGCAAGGGAAGCCAGACTAGACACCCTAACTTAGCACACGATACTATCAAAGTAAAACAGGATGCACACAACAGGTGCAGAGAAACAGACAAGATACACACAGGGAACACATAACCAAAACCCAAGAAATAAAACCTTAACACGCATTACAGAAACCTAGGATAATAATAATAATCAAAACAGCACAGCTAGAGACTCAGAACACAAACCATAATGCAAAATAAAACCAAAACACAAGAAACTCAAAATGCTTGATCACAAAGACCCAGAACCATGACAGAACCCTGCTTCCTTGTCCAAACTACTCTGCAATTATTAACCCTTTGAGACCTACCATAGAACCAAGTCCACCAGAGCTTATCTTTATAATTTTACATGCTGTAGAGCCATTTTTGAGAGCATTTCAAGTTGCTATACACCAATACAACTGCTAAAGCCCAAATGTTAATCATATGTATGCATTAAGTGCATAGTAACTACATAAATTGCAAAAAAGTGCAATAAACTACAATACATTTCGAGTTAGAGAAATTTAAGAGGTTTATCCCTCAAAACTGTAAATACACAATAATTTCCAACAACAGGAAATTTATTTGGAGTGTCTTCATATTTTTATTTTTGAGATACACCAATTTTTATATACTGCAGGAAAAACAAAAATAAATATTATAATTCAAATTTGCAAAAAACACCATGTGCATCAAAATAAACTATTTCCAGCAGTGCAATTTGAGTTCTAAGCATCCCAGAAAGTATACAGAAAAGCATAAAGTCAAACATGACTTTTAAAAACACCAGTGTAGGCTCTGAAAGAAACAAAATGCATTTTCTGTGGAAATTCAATTCAATTCAATTCAATTCAATTTTATTTATATAGCGCCAAATCACAACAAATGTCGCCTCAAGGCGCTTCATAGATA